TCCTCTCTCCTTAGCCTCTCTTAACATCGGCATCAACGCTTTTCTTCTCTTCCTCACACACTCGGGGTAATCTTCGTTGATGTAGATCCTGGTTCCCTTAAGCTTCTTGGCTTGTTGCCGGATGTTTATCTTATCTTTCTCATTCTTCAGCTTAACCATCATCCCCCTTGGACCCCATTCGGTCAATTTCCCAACTCTGTAAACCCGTTCCATCTCTATATCTTGATGAATTTGCAGTTTGTCCTTTAAGATCTCCTTCACCTTACACTCCGCTTCCGTCCAGCTTTCTCCAGCTGATTCCATGATTCCCTCGAAGATCAGGTTTTTTTGCTTGGACTGCGCTTCCAATTGCTCCATTTTACACGCAATAGTTATTAGACTCTCTCGGGTTTTTTCAATGTCCCGAAAAGTGTCTTTGGCAGTTTTTTCATGCCTCCCCACGTCCACTTTAATTGCGTCCACATCTCGCTGAGTAAACTGCAAACTCGTTTTTATCTCCTGCATTTCTTTGGTCAAGTCGTCGAGTCTCTTGTTATTTGTCTCCATAATTAGTTTCACAAAGCCTTGGAAACTCTCATTCAGCTGGCACATCAGTACAGTGTGCATGATCTTCTGCTGATTCATCATCTCAGCTACTTGCGCCGCTGAAAAAGAATCTTCTTCCGCCTCAACATCCTCGTTCACTTCGAATTTATTGGCTCTCTTCCCTCTTGGAGGCATTTTAGTAGTTGTAGAATTTGTTCAAAGCCTTGACAATATGGAAGATGTGAAAAATCGTAGAACAGATAAGAGAAGCAATAAAGACGTCTGCTTTCACTTGCAACCCAGAACAATCTGAACAGAGTGCAAGAGCCTTATCATGTTGCTGCCAAAAGTCCACACTACATTAGCTTCCCATGTAGCAGTCTGCTTGTGTTGTCATGTGTGAATGCGTGTGCATGCAAGCAAACTGAAGTATCAGTTTTCAATTCAATTTTTGTCTTTGATTCTTTGAACGCAAGTGGTAGCTTTTAATTATGTTTTTAAGTAAATAACTTGCCTAGCAGGATGAGTAAAGATTTCACCATCTCATATGAATGAGATGGTTTTCACTGAAAGTCTGATTAGTCACCTGGTTTAAAGCAGAGGTGGTGATGTGGGTGAGGTGAAAGGTGGGAGCCCCCTAAAGCTGGTAGGTGACAAGTAATTTATTTTTCAACCACATGAAGACTTATTGAGGTGACCTGTGTTTTTCACCTACCACCTGGCTCACGTCCACCCACGTTTTCTCTCTTGTAGGTATAAACATGGTATATACTGTACGCATAAATATTGCACAAGTACACCCAAGTTCACGCCCCCATCCACAAACACAAGATACTGCCAATTACCCACTCTTTAAAGCAATTATATTTGCCCCTGAGTTCTTGCTGCCATTACTACTGAACCTGCATCATGAATGAACATGCTTGGAGTTATGGCAGAAATTCAGCTTCCATGTGCTGTGCAATAAGCACTCTTTTGCAGTAAGTCCATAACTTATATATTATATTTTCATCCAGTGAAGAAAGGCTGGCTGACCACCACTGCCTAAAAATAAGGGCTTTTTTATTATTGAGCAGGGTATGAGCACAGCATCGAGGAGTAGCTTGGTAAAACTTTTAGCCATGGGGGTGAACAGCAATAACTCCATTGAGCTTCTAAAGCACTGCAGTGAATATAGTTACCTATTTTTAGCAGCTCTATGATTATGATGTCTGTGATTATGATGTCTAACTATGTGAGTGCTGGCAGCCAGCATTTTGTCACTCACAGTGTGCACTGAGTTCTCTGGATTTGCTGTGGATTCTGCAGCAGTGCTGAAGCAGGCAACTTCCCCTCTTTTTCTGTTGCTCAGTCATGAAAATTATTGAAGCTGAGACATCAATAGGTGCAACAGCACTGAATCTTAAACAACACAATGTGTCAGTGTACAACTGACAGGGGTACGTATTTTTAACATGGTTAACTATTTCTAATCTTGCAATATCCCTAACAACAAAAGAGGCTTGATTCCTACAGTACATCTAATCACCCATTCACCGGAGTACAAGTCTCATTACTTGATTCAGAAGGCTTGTGTGAATTGTGCATACTTAAGCTGTTCAATGCCTTGTACACTGTAAGGTATTACACGGGTCTACTGTAAGTAGTTTTCTTAATTCTTATAAAACCTACAGCTCATCCAGTGCTGTCCTTTGTTGAGCTGAGTTGGGGCTCAGCTTAACAAAGCTGCCAGTGCAGCAGGGGTTGGGCTCTGTCAGACACAGTCAGTGAAGCTCATCCACCCACAGAGACAACAGTCAGAGTGGTACATACAGTATTGCATGACAGCACACAATATGAGTCTGGGGGAGATCACGCCTAACATAACATCCATTTGAGAAGTTAACCTTGTGCTAGGAGGGTGTTTTTCTCCTTCTCATCCAAACCTTCTCCTCAGAGATAAATTTAAGTGCAGAGATGAGATCCATGAGGCAAAGCAGAGGCATGGTGAGCAATCATCTGATCTGTGTGTGTGTAGATAATATTGTTCACTCATTAAGGAAAGGTTTTACAATTTTTTCAGCATCATTTTTGAAAAAGCAAGTAGTCCAAAAGTGTGATTACCTTGCACAACTAAGAACATCCTGCAACCAGCCTGCTTAAACACATGCATGTTTTAGACATCTTCTCATTTAATGTGGGATTATAAAATACAGCATTTGAATCTAGCACCTTCTATTGCAGGATTTAAATATGTGCTCAAAGAATATTTAAAGAGAGAGATGGATTTACCTTCTTCAGAGCTGACATTCTAGGTGGATCCTCCTCCTGCAAAGCCCATTCACATGCTGAGGTCCCAAGCCAAGTTTGGAAGGTGTGCGAATCCTAACTCAGCCTGGTGCTGATGCTGAGCCATGAGGTGCCTGCTTAATATTCTCATCTCGCTTCCACCCAGTCCTACAGCTGGCTCGGTGTGTGCACGCCCAGAACCGTTGTCAATGCAGGATTCAAACACACGGGGGCGCTCTACTAGCCTGATGTATCGCACTCAACATAGTTCTTGAAAGAAAGTTGGCCATTTAAATCGATATAAAAAAATTAATTTGCCTTGATTATTCCGGTAAGAAGACACGCCTGCACAAATTAATTAAGAACATTTTCGAAGAACCAGGTGACAGTTTTAATTTGTCCCACAGTTAATATCACAAAAACAAATGACAGGGAAAATCTAGCTATTATTCCTACCGTCTTTTTCATTAGACGGTCAGTCAGACGGTGTCAAAATTATACATATAACTCTAAATATTATATTAAAGTAGGTCGGTTTATAAGCCGATTTGAAAAATAGATTCGAACGATGCACTCAGTGTATTAATTCATAATTTATATGACACATATATTCTCTGACAACAAAGTCCATATTAGATTGCGACTATTTTGAATGGAAATTTGGCGAAGAAGGACCGACTCTTGAGATTCACTTGACTATCAGTTTTACCACACAGTGGTGGTAGTGCTGATAGTAGCTGGTGGATTGTATGGCAGCTTGAAGAGTCCAAAAAATCACTGTACTTAGCAAGCGTAACCTTAGTTAAAGTTACTTAACCTTTAAGTAGCTCTCTATATATTTTAAGACGCCGAGTTGCACAGCGCCATTGTTTCACCTGTATGTGCCATGTAGATAGCTCTCCGCCGAACCGAGCTCAGCTCAAAAGCTAGCATGTTTGCTAACTTGACTCGGCTAACTTAGCTTAACCATCTGCAACATTAATGTTTACTTCTTCGCTTTCGGGCACCTATACATGTCGATATGGCACATAGGAAAGAAGGTGAGCATTTTCACTTGCAACATTACGAAATTTAATACAAAAACTGGAGTTTTGTTTGTTACTAGCTGGCTAACGTAGCTATCCAGGTAAATCTCGCGTTAAGCAGGTTACTAGCTATGTTGTCAACAAATACACGTGTTTAAAAAAAAAAAAACCCTCAAATACTCGTGTTTCACTTCCGAACTGTAACTGTAACTGCTTTCTGTTTTTCCCTA